TATTCTACATCCAACTTTGCTAAGTAGTGAATCATAGCGACCCTGTAGGAGAGAGTGGAACTGTCCTTGTGAGTTTCCTAGACTGTAACTGTTTAAGGGAGTAGAAAGCCCCGTGTTTCTCCTGCAGAGCTGTTGGTGGTTTCAAACCACTGACCTTAAGTATTACCGCCCACTTGTAAACACTATGCCACCATGGCTCTTAAGTATTGACTAGGGTCTTAAAAACTAGTATGTGTCCATCTAAGCTGCAATTACTGGTCTCTTCCTGTCTAAATCAAGATGCATGGAAACAATTGGTCCAGTGGACTCACGGACCACAAAAACTTCAACTTCCATGATCCTGAGACCAGAAGAACTAGATTGTACTCCCTATCATTGCTGTCGATTTGTCGTATTGTGATCACTTGCGTGCTGCCGTGATGCTGGAAGCTTTGTCACCAGTGTTTCAAATCTGAACAGTATTTCAAATATATATATTCAACAACAGGACAAATATGTATATTCAACAACAGTATTTCAAATATATATATTCAACAACAGGACAGCGAACAGGACAGTATTTGTGGACTTCTTCAGATGGAATACACACAAACCAGACTGACTGCATCTATGAGAAGAGATGATGGAGGAGTTACCTGGAAGCAGCGAAAACAAGGCAATGGAGCAGTGCAGAAGAGGAAGACCTGAACTAGATGGATTCACCCAGTGGCTGCATGGACGGACTCCAGCCCTAGAACGACTGTAAGAATGGCAGTGGCAGAGACCCGGGCAGTGCTTCTTTCTATTGTACCGAGGGTCTCTAATAGAACCAACTTTTAAAAGAGAAAAACTTAAACCACTGCAGAAATTTTAAAGAATTCATATGGAACCAACATCGATTCATAGAATTTAATTAAAAAGCAATGCATGGTTATAACTTAGACGTTTCCATGCTTATAGACGTGCTGCATTGAGTATTCAGGTGGTGATATGCTAGTGTTTATATTACCAGGAGGGGGAAAGCAGCGGAAATCAGGAGGAACCAATAAAATAAAAACACAATGTATAGGGTAAGTGATTACACGGACCAGTTCACTTTGCCAAGATGCATTAGGTTGAACATGTATCAAGCTGTCTACTTATTTACTTAATTTTCTGTATGTATTTTCTACTTTAATAAAAATTTCGCCTAAAAAAACGTGTTAAAGATTGAAGAGATTAACCCAGTACAAGTA